ATTTACCAGATTTACCTTCATCTCCCTTAATTACACATCTTTTAATTTATTATTGACATTTTAAATTTCAATTTTAAAGTTGCAAAAATACTAATTATTCAATTTAAATATCTTTATATTAAACTCTTCTTTATATTAAATCACAAATCCTTTCATCTTCAGTTTTTTCACTCACAATAAATCATTAGCAAAACTGGTCAGCTGATATAAACATTAAAAAATATTGCTGTGCCTTATCAATACAGTCTTTTGAAATATTAAAGAAACTATATCTTATACTATAAAAAATTTCGAACAAATAATTTAGCATTAAAGACAGCGGACAAAACTAATATGATTATCAAAGCATCAAGGACTAAAAAATTTAATAGCAAATACAGTATGTTTCATTGCATCTCTGATTCTACTATACAAAAATATCAAATATCAACAAACAACTGAATATACAAACCAGTTCTTTTAATCAGTTCCATCGTCCATTGCCTTTACATTTTCATACTTACCATTAAGAAACCATAGTAACAGATATTTCATTGATTTTAGAAACAAAAGAACACTGTGTACTGCTTAGTTTTATGATATTTTCCTTGGTTTAATTTAATCAGTGGTGTGGCAAAACACAAAAATGTATAAAATAAAGTAAATGTGAACTGAAAGCTATGTTGAGATAAAATAAGAGTACAGTATTTTGTATTACCATTTGATAATTGAATATAGTTACACATATACAACAGATTTTAGAAAACAAAAATCAACAACAATTAGTTATTGATGATATTCTTTAGTTTAATTTAAGCATAGGTTTAGCAAAACACAATAACTTAATTTACCTAAATATACATATAAAAAACAATGTGATGTGCAAGTTATGTTAAGTTAATCTAACACATGTGAAGCAGTTAGAATTTATTTAAAGTAGCCTCCAAATTCATACAAAACATTTATACATTGTAATTTTCATACCGTTTCCATGAAAACATATCAATAACATTATTTTCACTTAGGATTATTAACTTAAGACGCTTTAAAAAAATCCAAAGCAGAGTCGGAGTTGATACAGCAACGGTTATACAATCTTTTTTTTCTATAATCATTGACATAGTTTTAGAATAAATAATCCATGATAAAAGGTTAGATTGAAATAAACCTACCTCATATTTATGGAAAATATTATATTTCATTTCTTTGTATCAGCTGTCTGAAATTGTGATATATATGCAGTTTAGCAGTTCTTCTTGTTTATATTTAAATGTCAAAGCAAATGTAAACAAACATTGTTAGTGTTCTCATCACAGCCATGTAGACCAATCAATATTTACTTTTAAAATGTTCACCTCAGAACCTTTAAAGCCAAAGGGGCAAAGCCTACAGTCAGTATCGAAATGTGAATAGTCCTATAATGGTCCTTGGTATGGTAGCTATATCTTTGTAAAATTTAAGCCCAGTTGGTTCAGTAGTTTTTGCACCTATTAGTAATACACATACAGACAGACACCATTAGATTTTTATATAATAAGTATAGATGTGGAGATTCTACAAATAATTTTGTTTTTGTGTCTATTAAATTTTGGCGTTTACCCACACAACTGGACATTAAAACACATCCAAATATGCTTAAGATGTTACAATATCGTGAGCAATTTACTTTGTATATATAAAATTAACGATTCAATACAATCAAAATAGGTAGTTTTTTACTTGGATGAGTATTCGTGTGAAAAGTTTTTGAGACAAGCAAATCATGCGAGAGTCATTAGGATTAAGCAACAGGATGTAATTTAAATTTAGCGTAGACCTGCCCTCAAATGTTAAAGGTTGTTCCTCGATAGCGTAGGAACTCAAGATACTAATTGCAACATTGCAAGATAATCGTAACGCTTTTACACATTCCTATCATGACGCTCGCAACAAAAAATCGCTGGTCCAAGTCCAACAGGATGTCTGCATTGACGAGAAACCGTAAACTTGACTTTCGACTGACGTTCAGATCTGTAAATATACCTGAACAACCTTGGAAACTCCGTCTAGATCGTGTAGATGATTCTATAGGCGATTGGTACGGTCCAAGTAGTCAGAGAAAGGATTCTGCATTTCAATTATTTATTACTGTTTGAAACACGTAGAAAAATACAGATAACAATATGCAGGATTGTAGCTATCGTTATAATTAATTTCCATGTTAGTGTATTCATTATTATTAGAAGAATGGTAAGTCTACTGTACGGCAATTATGTATGGCCATAACGGAGTATGTTAAATCTATGGTACGACCTAGCCTCTCCAAGTGCATGCTTCACTGACAAACGCCCTTAAATTCTTATTTTTCTCGCATTTTCCCTTAAAACTGTTTAACATTATTTTTTGTAAAACACTGTCTGTGATATGCTATAGGGAATATCGCAGACTGAGGTAGTTCTCTTCCCAAAAAGTATGTTTTTTCAAGTGTTTTCTAAACGAAATGGGGGCATTGAACCGTCGGTCAGAACATCATCACTAAATACATTAATTAATATTAGTGTTTTGCTAGCACTATACATTTTTTGTAAAGATTCCTTATATTTTAAGTGATAAATTAAAAAGTTACAAGTACAAATCTATATATTTATATCTATTACAATAATTGTAATATATATTAACCACCTCTTTTTTATAATTATTTTAAAGAAGAGGTGGTTTCTGTCTGTGTGTGTGTCTTTGTAGTTTTTGAGCTAAACTAAAAAAACCACTGAACCGACTGGGCTCAAAGCCTCAAATTGGACAAAAATAAAGCTACAGCTCCGAGGATGCATATAGAACTATTTCCCGTTTCTAATGACCTAGGACTCGTGTGGTTTCAAAGTTCTGAGGTGAGAGTTTAAAAAGTAAAAATTGATTGGTCTCCATGGTAACAAAGAACAGACCCACAAAGTTTAAATGTAAACAAGCAGAACTCTCAAATGAATTTGGATTTCACAATAATTTCACACAGCTGGTTCAAGCATTTTAAATACTGCACGAATATTAGAACCGAAGGGCCATAAACATAAAAACATGAGGTCACCTGCTCAAATGTTTTAACATTAATTAAATGGAATTGCCAACCCATAATACTAAGATAATAATATTTCATATTGAATAAGTCGTTGATTAAACAAATTATTAATTGATTAAATAAATTCGATTCTATAACCGTTGCCGTATCAACCTCACCTGTTATCCTGAGATTTACGAGAATGACTTTTTAGATATATTTTTGTGGAAACAGTAATATAAATGTTGTACAGACTAAGCAAAATTCCATTTGTCTGATTATATTTTCACTAAAATGTTTACTTAAAAATGATAGAAAACTGCACTAATGACATGTTTGGAACTATTGTAATAGCTGTTCGTTTACAGTACAAACTACTCAACATGTTATTTGATTATACCTTAAAATCTATAATTGATTTCGAATCCCAGGTAGTGCAAATAAGTGTTCACAGTCTTGAGTTAACAAAAACTATTATCAAGTTAAATGTAAAGTTCGCTTTCGTTTCCTAATTAAATGGTGGGTGTGAAACCATGTTTAAGGTATTTTCAAAGAACCAACATGGTCTCTTTTGCATACTGACCCCGTTGCAATGCACGGGTATACCGACTAGTGCTGAATAGTGTAGTAAATACCCCCCGCCGCAGCAAACCTGCAGACTTAGCGAATTTCCATTTGCCTGATTGGATTTTAACTACAATTTCTCCTTAAAAATATCACATTTATTCCCTATTTAAACAGAATTATTTTAACGAGTACAAAGGTTTGCTGCAACAGGGAGGGTAAAAAAGTTTTTTTAATGTAAAATGTTAAAAGGTACTGTGTTTTAGTAAGAAATTAATGTATTTTCCAAATTTGATCAAAATATGTTCATAAACAAGCAAACTACAACAGTTGACTTATTCTCCATAAGAATAACATGGGAATTTTAAAGTTACAATTTTTTTGAATTTTCTCCGTAACAATTAGGCGCATAATAACGCTTCAATATACTAAATTATTTGTTTTTTTAAGCTCTACAAAATGGTTTAGAAAGAAATTGTGAAATTTTGTGTTTTTAGGGTCAAAAATGGGAAAACCCTATTTTTACCCCATAAAACCCCCTATAAACCCCCGTTCCCATAGTCCGATCATGCTGGTTCGCGAACTCATTCAAGTTTATCCCGCCTTACCCCTTCAAACCAAATTTCATCAAAAACGGACAAAAATTACTCAAGTTATCGTGCGGATGGACATATATATATAGATATATAAAAATTTGAACGAATGGTGTTTTTGGCCTCTGGGGACATCAAAATGAAAAAGTAAATCGGTCCCGGGCCTAGGTCTTACCATGAGACCTACGGTAATAGCTACTTCCCTATAGGGAAATTCGCTAAAACGTCCTATACATATCATACCGACAAAACAGTCCTTAATATAGTTCTCACTAACCCATAAAGATAATCTATAAGACGGTGCTTGCAGTTTCCCCTCTCACTAGTTAACATTTTACACATTGTTTTATTCATCATGAATACAAAATCTTGTGGGTTTCTTGACCTTCTGCAACCGGATCAACGCCGAGCGGAATCTGCAATAGAAGATAACGGCGATGGCGAATCCGTCGATCGAGTTTGTCAAGGATTCTGCTGATGCAATAGAACCGACCTTCAATGTTAACCGGGCCTGAGATTATCCTGAACTGTTTTTGTTGCAAATGGTAAAAGTCGAGTTTTGAAATGATACAGAAATATTCAAACTATGCCACTTCTTCGCCAGGATATACACATGCAAGTCTTGCCTTATAAAGTGATTTTGTATACTTGGGCGAAGTTTATTCTATGCTGGAGGGAACATTTATGATAAATCTCCATGGTCCTGTTTGATGTGCAGCTACATTCATGTGAATTATTAGTATCAGATGTCAATGTTACAATTTTAATGTTCATCTAGAAACGTCACGTATTTGTTTACTTAGCAATTTGTGTCAAAGTTAACCAATTTAACTAAAGAAAAGTTTATGTTCACACCTAGCCTTAACAACTTTGAAATAACTTTTGACGAATCTGCAGTAGGCTATAGTTATGAGTGGTGATGCGGCAAATATTGACAGAAATATAGAACAACTCAAGAAGACAGAATTACCAAACGAGTTGGAAGTCAGAGTGTTGTGTGAGAAAGCTAAGGAAATACTCAATTTGGAAAACAACGTTGAGAAAATAAGTTAGTACATTAAGATTTTGTTAAGTTAGGGTTATTTAAAAGTTTATTTGTTGTGATCTTTAATCCTTTAGCTAACTCGCGAATTGAACAACACTTCAGACACAAGTCAAAATGACTGAGAATGTCGTGGAAAACTTTCGGTTCCTTTGAAAAGCATCTTGCGCCATAATACACACAAATTTATCTAGGATTAGTACATAGTCGCTATTCCGGAGTTTCTTAAAATTATGAATTTCGTCCAGTTCGTGTACTGTTTGTTATACTTGGTTGGAGTCCTCCAACCACTTCCATTTCTAATTCATTCTGCAAAAGTGTCTGTCTGTCATTGCTTTATTTTCCAAGACACAATGTACTACTGTGTTTAAATTCAATTATTAGTAATCACTTCTAGTAGTTTGAAAATATTTACTTTTACAAGATTATTACAATCTATTGAAACTATTTGGACGGCTCTAAAACGATTGGAATCATTTGGTTATCCTTAAAAGATACTGAAATAATTTAGATTATTCCAATGTATTTATTTCTTTAGCTAATTCAAAACTATAAGAATGGTTTTGCTAAATCCAACTCATTCTAAAATTCTTATGATTATAAACGATGCTTAAAAGTCCACCCTCTGCAGGTACCCCAGTAACAGTCTGCGGTGATATCCACGGTCAATTCTACGACCTGGGGGAGTTGTTCGCTGTCGAAGGGGACGTCCCTGAGAGCAACTACCTGTTCATGGGCGACTATGTTAACAGAGGACATCACAGCGTGGAGGTGTTCCTACTTCTGTTGTCCTAAAAGGTCTTACATATTATCCACTCTCTGCAGGTACCCCAGTAACAGTCTGCAGAGATATCCACGGTCAATTCTACGACCTGGGGGAGTTGTTCGCTGTCGAAGGGGACGTCCCTGAGAGCAACTACCTGTTCATGGGCGACTATGTTAACAGAGGGCATCACAGCGTGGAGGTGTTCCTACTTCTGTTGTCCTAAAAGGTTTTACATATTATCCACTCTCTGCAGGTACCCCAGTAACAGTCTGCAGAGATATCCACGGTCAGTTCTACGACCTGCGGGAGTTGTTCGCTGTCGGAGGGGACGTCCCTGAGAGCAACTACCTGTTCATGGGCGACTATGTTGACAGGGGACATCACAGCGTGGAGGTGTTCCTACTTCTGTTGTCCTAAAAGGTCTTACATATTATCCACTCTCTGCAGGTACCCCAGTAACAGTCTGCGGTGATATCCACGGTCAATTCTACGACCTGGGGGAGTTGTTCGCTGTCGAAGGGGACGTCCCTGAGAGCAACTACCTGTTCATGGGCGACTATGTTAACAGAGGACATCACAGCGTGGAGGTGTTCCTACTTCTGTTGTCCTAAAAGGTCTTACATATTATCCACTCTCTGCAGGTACCCCAGTAACAGTCTGCAGAGATATCCACGGTCAATTCTACGACCTGGGGGAGTTGTTCGCTGTCGAAGGGGACGTCCCTGAGAGCAACTACCTGTTCATGGGCGACTATGTTAACAGAGGGCATCACAGCGTGGAGGTGTTCCTACTTCTGTTGTCCTAAAAGGTTTTACATATTATCCACTCTCTGCAGGTACCCCAGTAACAGTCTGCAGAGATATCCACGGTCAGTTCTACGACCTGCGGGAGTTGTTCGCTGTCGGAGGGGACGTCCCTGAGAGCAACTACCTGTTCATGGGCGACTATGTTGACAGGGGACATCACAGCGTGGAGGTGTTCCTACTTCTGTTGTCCTACAATGTCTTATATATTATCCACTCTCTGCAGGTACCCCAGTAACAGTCTGCGGTGATATCCACGGTCAGTTCTATGACCTGCGGGAGTTGTTTGCTGTCGGAGGGGACCTCCCTGAGAGCAACTACCTGTTCATGGGTGACTACGTTGACAGGGGACATCACAGCGTGGAGGTGTTCCTACTTCTGTTGTCCTACAAGGTCCGATATCCCGGCAGGATCACGCTGATACGAGGCAACCACGAGTCTCGGCAGATCACACAGGTATGTCTCCAGCTCCTCAGGTCTTCGGAGGGCTTTTAGTTCAGACAGATTATGAATATAGGGGGTAGTGTCGATTGAAATGGCTGTGCAGTTTTGTTACTAACCAAGACCAGCTGTCACTTAAGTGTTATTATTAGTTAAATGATCAAGGATTGATGGCTCCAATATTGGACCTTGAAAAATATACTAATCAACCGGTAATCTTTGGATTATCTGGTGAGATTAGCAATAATTTTTCCTCCGCTTCAGCCCACTGTCGTTCCAGTAGCTCTTCACTAGTTCTGAGTTTTCTAATTCACCAATGTCCTCAGCACGGGCTCTGTTGTGCTTTAGCGATATTTAATAGTTAGGTACCTATAGGATATTCTATCGTTAAAGTAGCTTAGAGTTAGAGTAGGCCTAGTGTGGCGTAAAATATCGTTCGTCACTCGTCCAAAATGTGTTTACCGGACTCGTATAGTACGGCTCGTGACATCTAAGCTGGCACTTGGCCGATCGCTAATAGTACCTTTTTCAAAAACATTATGTCTCGTCATGCGGGTTGCATCAACTGTCCTCGCGACCCATATGAAGGCGCTCAAGTACATAATACAAGGGTAGTCAACCCCGTGAGGCAGCGGAAATGTTTGCAGTCCGGTCTTTTCCCTACCTCCACCCTCCTCCCGCCTACACTGCCCGCGCTAGGCCAAGTGCCAGCTTAGGTGTCACGAGCTGTAATCCCGCACTCGACTTCGTCTCGCAAAGGAACGACCACACTCCGGTAAACACCTATTTTCAGGACTAGGAACGTAATTTACCATTACCTTCTTAGTTGATGAAACCTAATTACACAGATATACAATTATTTTACGTTAATTCGAATTTCGATAGATAATGTTCCTGACTAAGTATCAGATGGACCTAGTCAGTGACAGTGCGATCGTCGCATTACGCATATGTGAAGTGTTTTTACTTCCCAGGTCTACGGGTTCTACGACGAATGTCTCCGCAAGTTCGGCAGCAACAGCGTCTGGCGCATGTGCAGCGAGGTGTTCGACCTCCTCCCTCTGGCGGCCATCATCGACGACAAGATCCTCTGCGTCCACGGTGGGCTGTCCCCCAACATCCAGACCATCGATCAGATCCGGTCCATCCAGAGACGCACGGAGGTTCCCCACGACGGTCCCATGTGTGACATCCTCTGGTCCGACCCTGATGACATCCAAGGCTGGGGCGTCAGCCCTCGTGGCGCTGGGTATCTCTTCGGTGCAGATGTTGTCTCTCAGGTACGCTTGGTTGAATGCAGTTCATAGAAAGAGTTGATAGTTGTAATAATGGTTTGAAGTTTGAGTTAAGACTCAGTCTTACTTTTCTCATACTATATTTAACCCAACATATTTAGGGGAGCAGCTACAATTTCTTTGTTTCAATATCTTATTAGGCCTACCTAAAAACCATATATGGTTTATTGCTCTATAATCTTTATGATGTTTTATATTACATGAATCAAACCGAAACACTGTTAATGTCTGATTATTATGAATTGGTTGTTCGTTGTTGCATCTACTATGGATGGATTTAAGATTAAACTTACTGACGCTAAGAGGTCATTGGTAATTTCGTCCATGTCAATGGTGTTAATAAACTGATTATTTCAGAAACTGGGAAAAACAGCATGAAACAATATTTTGCACATGCTTTACATTATAAGCCCGATAGCTCCTACAAAGCATAATAAATTGACTTCAAATGCTGAAATAAAAATTCTCATCCAATGGCAAAACCTCCATCAACATAACCAAAGTTCAAGAAAGTCAATCAATAAAGAGTACAAATCACTCATCTAAGTCGAACCTTATTTTTTTAATTCTCAAATAAAAAGTAAACATCAAAAGTGCCTCTACATAAACTTAACCTCGAATCTTCCTTCAGCTAATCCTTCAGGATGATGTTAAATACTCAAAGACATCAATGTTTGCAGTTTAACAACGCCAACAAGACTGAGCTGATCTGCCGTAGCCACCAGTTGGTGATGGAAGGTTACAAATGGCATTTCTCGGAGACTCTGCTGACCGTCTGGTCAGCGCCGAACTACTGCTACCGCTGCGGCAACGTGGCGGCCATCTTGGAGGTCAACGAGCATCTGCAGAAGGAGTTCACTGTCTTCGAGGCGGCTCCTCAGCAGTCGCGGGCCCAAATCAACCAGAAGGTCAAGACGGACTACTTCCTGTAATAAACGTTTGTTCCGATCAGCTGTGGTTTTAAAATATTAGAACAGAAACTGTATCCTACTTCCTACTAATATTATAAATGAGAAAGTTTGGATGTATGGATGTATGGATGTATGTTTGTGACAAGTGAACGCGAAAAATACTGGTCGGATTGGGCTGAAATTTGGCATGATGATAGCTCACATTCCCGATTAACATATAGGCATATTCTTATTTCAAAAATCCTTTCGGGCTCCGCCCCAGTGGCTCTGGAGTTTCCCATGTTATCCTTATGAGAAATGGAATTATTGAATCTTAACAGCTATTTCACAATTAAACAAGTTGGTTCTGTTCTATGATGTTCAATAGCATTAAAGCTACAAGGATTACCAACAGGGTGCAGCACTATTATGTATTTTACATTTATGGGAACAGCTAATTTGCAACCAAAAGGTGAGTGAGCGCAGCGAACGAACTTCAACCGGGAGGCGAGTTAGCGTAGCGAACGAGCTAACCTGAAGGCATGTAAGCGCAGCGAACTAGCTCCAACCTAAAGGTGAGTGAGCGTAGCGAACGAGCTCCAACCAGGACGTGATTGAGCCATGCGAACGAGATAATCTTGAAAATTAAGAAGTTAAACGGGGCAAAGCCCGCGGGTTACAGCTAGTAATTTATAAATGAACAAATTACGTCGCTGGCCCGAAAATAAACATGATTGGAATAATATTGGGAGTAAAAGGTTAAAACCATCCTAAAAGGATGTTACGGGTTTTAGTATAGATGGGATAGTTCGGGCCAGTTGCGTAATTTGTTGATAATCCATATAGTTTCTGCTCAATCGGTGGATTTATCTTTAAGATCAACTAGTCGTCAACAGCATTATGCTTGTTTCGTTAATAATTCAACTTTGATCCTGGATTCTGGAATAGATTTATGTATCTATGGATTAACTATAGCCAGTTATTTTGTGGAAGGAAAGTATAGTTTAATTAAATAAGCCTAATTAAGAGCTTTTCTATAGAAGTTCTTTTTCCAGTTTTTAACTATGATAGTTAATCCCCCCATTCTATAAAAATTCTCACGTTCTATCAAAGGTCCATTGTGTTTCATCAATGACAAAATATCCCCATCAATATTTATCAAATGGTGGGTGTTTCAAGGGAAATTTTGAATTTCAAAATCCCCGAAGATGTTTGTCGGTCACGGGTGATTACTGATTAGAAAGTAAAAGTGTTTATAAATGTTTAAAGAAGTGCGACATAGGTCACAGAGTAAGCAAACACTTTGAAAAATTCACGAGGTCTCGCAACGTGATTGAGGTTAAATTTGATTATTCTATGGAAATGCTGTTGTTCGAACCCTGCTAGAGCGGCAGTGGCGTCGGCGGAAGTCTTTCAGGATTAATGGTTGACCTTAGCATTTTGAATTTCCTAGAAAAATCTATGTGGATGTTTCAAATTTACCAGGTACGAAAACAAAAAGTTGCTCCACTTCGAAAATTATTACAACTGTTTGTTGTGCCTTTGTACAATAAAATGTTACATTCAATTTGATTCAATGCTAGTGAATAGAGCTTACTCTGTATAAGAGTTCTTACTCCACGAAAAACCATACGATAATATTAATCAAACAAAGTGAGCAGTTCTGCAGATAATCAAAATGTATTTGGCAGGCTCACTAAACAGGTCAAAACAGTATTAAATAAATTCTGATTACGATTTGAAAATTTAAGTTAGGTACGGTGGTAACTTTTAGAATAGAATATTACAGTGTATATGGTGTTGAAAGCGTTTGATATTGTTCTCACAATCGATCGAACTACAACAGCTGATTCAATAACAGCTGATCACATTTACCATGGACAACTGGCTTATCAGTGACAGCTGATAAGAGCTTTCAACAGCTGGGCTGTTGAAATGACAACGCGCCGTCACTATCAAAATAACTGATTTTGCTTTTCTACAATTGAAAAGAATAAATTTTTAATTCATTTTTGAATTGGGGGTCACAACATTAACACATTTATAAATCTAATTTTTTGAACTAAGTTACCTTTAAGCCTTTTTTCTTGGAGGATGGAGTTATATTTCTCCAATATATTTCACCACAGTTCGGGCATCTTCAGGGAGTCTAGAAGTTCTATTTACACATTTATACAGTTTATACATAACATTTATACATAAAATCATCATTTATCAATCCTTTTATGTTTGGAACTAATTTTGTGTTGCCCATCTTTAATAATCTCTGCTGAAATGCATCATAGTTTTCTCTATTATTTATTTATCTTCCAGCACTTAAATTCGTGTGCTCGGTAACCCTTAAATTTGCTTATTTCGCAGAAAGCTTTTGAGAAAAAAAATGAGAAAGCTTAAAACTACGTTAAAATATGGAAAGCTTAGCCTACATTTCAAAGCCTAGAAATTAGTATATCGGGTCATTAAAAACTTACTCCGACACTCAAGATGTTGACGATTAAATGTTGTAGGAATGAAGCTCACAAATGCATATAGTATCAGTAGGCCTATATGAAAAGAGCGGGCCAAAGGCAGAGACATATTTTGGGTTTGATATACCTGGTTAGTAAAGTTTGCCTACTAAAATTTACTAAAGTGTATATTTAATTTTCAAATAAAACCATAAAAATGTAACAACTTACTTTATGTTATTTAGACGTTTGCAGCATTCCGAACTGCCAATAGGGATGCATGATGTTCATTATTAGTAGTGGTCTAAATCAGTTAATTCGAATCATACGTCTACCATTCTACCTAAACAGAATTTAATCAATCTGCTGCCAATTTACCTTCCTTATTATCTTATCATCTGGCCACAGCTGGACCTGTTGTTTGCCAATCGCCAAATGTAATTTGATCTATAATGATGCCAATACCCGTCCTAGGCTGTATGTAGTTTTCTTTTCAAGTATAATTAATTTAGGTTACTTTAATCGAGAACGATCTTTGAATTAGATATTTTCCATCCCTAAAAGTCTTACTATAACTAAAAAAACTTCTGGTATTGAGTTCTGGTATTACAATAGGATCACTTTCTAATCAAAATAAACTGTCCCTTAAATTAAAGCCTAAGAGAAAAATAAATGAACATTTTTGTTTAAAAAAAAATAATTGGTCTACATTTCAAAATGAAGCCAAACAACAATGACGTCGACGCCGTGTTGTGTTATCTAGTCACGTTATCAGTGACATTGAACTGACCTTGGCCCGACTCCCGTGTGCTCCTACCGTGCATCCTCTGACATCCTATCTCGATTTGGAATGCCAGGAAGTTCTCAACTACGTAACGCTTCAGGTCCTTTCTGGAACTCACTGAAACCTTTGTGGGTCATATTACTGGCCTTTCTTCTCAGCAGGTTTGGCAAAATTTGTTAGTTTAATAATCAGCTCAGTCTACAAGCGTGTTCTACCTGTTGATACTGACATCAATTTGTCTGTTGTTGAGACTTACTACTGGGTAGTCAAAATCAGTCTCTCTCCAAGTCCTGAACTTTACGTACCTAAGTGGATTTAGTGCTCATAAAGTATAGGGCCCATCTGCTAATTCTGAGAAAATCACGTTGCTTTCAATTAATGGTTCTAGCTAAGAACCAACTGATCTTAGTAACTAATGAATACAATAATGTTACTATTGATAACATTAATATAGTATACAGTACCGGGGGACCGAGCCATGGCTCGGTATGGAAACTCGCGGCATCTTTATAACTAATTTAGGCTTTTATTAAGTTTCAGTGGAATTTCAATTTATTATAATGGAAATTGTAACTTGGTAATCCAACACATGATTATATTTTGGATACTGAGGTCAACATCTCAACTTTGATCCAGTTGTAGCCAATTCTTTGTATCATAAAGTGTGCTAAGTATATTTTCACACTTTGTGTTACTGATACAGGATATGAGACTTGAAATGCTATAGCTTGCAATAAGTTATTTTTTTCTATTTGTTTTACCTTATGATTAGCTTTATTTGACGGATATCTGTAATTTATACTAGCGATATTTTTTTAGCTCGATTCAAATGTAAATGTTTTTTTCTGTGGAGTATAAAATTATTTAAAAAATAATTACATTCTTCGTCAAAGCTGGCAGAACAACATATCTGCATGCTATCATACAAGCACAAACGATTTTCTGTTTCTGATAAACAATTTTACTCTCTTTGTTCATTTGGAACCGCTTATATCGTTGGTTACAAATTTATTACTGTGAAGTAAATCTTAACAGTTGCATAGGCAAACGTGTATATGGAATCCTAAAAACGGATGTTAACGCCGAGGTTTTACGTAGCCCAAAATACCAGGACATCCCCTTGAGTGGCTTGCTATTTTTGTAGGCCTCCTACTTCGGGTTTCCCGCTAAATCACAGTGCACTGCACAATCATCAAGTTAAAATTAAGTCAGCTAAAACAGAGCGGATTTACTTAGGGTTTGTTGCAGCATGGGTATTAAATTAAATTCACACTATACAACAATTAATAATTTGTTATTGCATTTATCCAAATTTACAAATATGAATGATTTAACGAAAAGTTGTTACTCGTATGTAGGTTATGTATACGAGATATGTAAGTGATAAAGTTTATAAATATATTTCAACTGATTCAATAAACCCACTAAACATAGGCCTATAACGTAACATAGATTTTATTGCACAAACTCGTTGACAGTCAAGTAAAGTTCGGTATTTCACTGTTGCGTGATCTTTAAGCCGGAAATAGGTACTTCTACCTCTGATGTTTTTTACAGTTTCATGTCAGCATTATCCCAGTTCATTTCGTTGTATTAAGGTCAAAGTTGATGGCATTGTTAACGTGTTCTCATTGAATCTATATAAAATCCAATGTATGTTTGTATGTATGTTTGTTTGTCCTTTATGGACTCCGAAACCACTCACAAATTGTAATGAAACTTTCAGGCATTATAAAGCATTATTCAAGGATGGTTTGTGTGAAGTTTGGTGCAGATCCGTCAAAAGGGCTCCGCCCCAGTGGCTCTCGAGT